GGAGTTCGAGACCAGCCTGAGCAAGAGCGAGACCCCGTCTCTACTAAAAATACAAAGAAATTATTTGGACAACTAAAAATCTATATATAGAAAAAATTAGCCGGGCATGGTTGTGCATGTCTGTAGTCCCAGCTACTCGGGAGGCTGAGGCAGAAGGATCGCTTGAGCCCAGGAGTTTGAGGTGTCTGTGAGCTAGGCTGATGCCACGGCACTCTAGCCCAGGCACCACAGTGAGACTCTGTCTCAAAAAAAAAATACATGGTGTTCACATGACTTGGTTGAAGTAATGGACAAGAACACTGTGCAAAAGTTAACATGCTTTATAAATTTAAGGCATTATTATTGTGTTTCTGAAAATATAAAGAAGACTGAAAAAAGGTGGTTATCTACTGAAAACTGTTTGTTGATTGTGGGACTTTGAAAAAAAAATATTTACTTTCCCTCGAATAATTTCTATTAACAATTTGGTACAAATTTTTCCAGTCACAGCTTATAAAACAAAACCCCTCATTACAGGGATATAATATGGAGTTTCTTTTCCCCAGTTCTTTGGGTCTGGCCCAAGGACTGAGTGAGCAGCTGTTTTGCAAAAGCTGGTCACTCTCCTTTCCGCTTTTCGTGGTTTCCGCCCAATTGGCCAGCAGATTAATAAGGCTTAATGTCATTCAGTCTTTTAGTTAGGATTTAATAAACCCAAGTCTCATAAAAATTGTTTAGGAGTTTATGATATGTGGCATTCACAGTTTAACTCCATATTCTTTGCAAGCAGAGCTTTCTCACTATTTCTAGCTTCCCCCACTGACCAGCTAAATGTGGCCTTGCGATTCCATGGCCTTGTCTTCTTCTTTGTACTCTGGTGTCATCTGTTAAGGACATCTGTTAAGGACACTGAAGGCCAACCTCTAATCTTACTTTCTAGTAAACAAAGAGTGCACATGGCCAGAAGAAACTGAATAGCTCGATGCTATGGAATCAGGAGGCGGGCTAGAGCGAGAGTCCTTGGAGGAGGAAGAGAGAGAGAACAGTGCATGGGTTGGCCTGGTCGACTTCAGGTTAAAGTAATAGGCATGGCCTGCTTCCTGCATTTGGAAGGCATGGCATTTTCAAAATCAGATGGCACTGTGGGATCTAATCCCACGTCTTTCACAAACTAACCAATGGGCAATGGTAGATTAGGTAGCTTCTGAGTTGTGGGCCCTTTTGTTCAACATGGGGATAGCAATGTGTGTGTTGTGCCTATCTCATGGTGTTATTCTCAAATTTGTGTAATAATAAGTGTGATAGGGCTTTGTTAAGTACAAAACACAGTGAATTCTTTTAAGGATGATACCCTTTGACTCATTCACTGTGATGAAAAGAAAAAGCCAAGTGTTTTGAAAACCAGAGGTCGAAACTACAGGTTTATTTCTACTTGCTCTGTCCTTCAGTCAACCCATGCAGTATATGCCTGGCATGAGAATGTCTGAAGACCCACTCATCTTTCCCCTTGGAAAGCCACATGGTGCTAAGAGATGGTGTGCACAGCAGCCTGGTGTCCAAAACACCCCGTTTTCTCTGCTTCTCCCTTCTTAACTTCAGACCCCAGCCACACACCCCCGCCAGCAGACAGGATGTCCCATTCTGCTCTGGGGTTATTGGGATTGAATCCACCTGGAGCAGAGAGTGTTGATTATGAGAGCGTTTGTGTGTGAGTAGTGAGGAGGGAACATGTGTCTCTGTGGTGGGGAAGGGGTACAGCAGGAGTGACTCCAGGGTGTCAGACATTACCTAGGCAAAGTGGCTCTGTGAGGGCACAGGCAGAGCTTTCAGGAGGTTCTGCATCTCTCTCCCCACACCCGGGAAGTGGGATGTGGGCACTTGTAACTGACTACAAGCAAGCGCCTGGGGCCACTGGGGCTTGAAGCGGGGGTTTGCTGATAATGCTTACCAACTGGGTTGGTGGGAGAAGGGGCATAACTAAAGCCCAGAATTATAGTGTTTGCCAAGTTCTCTGGTGTGAATACTCCCACCGCGGCTGAGTTCAAGCCAGCAGTGTGACGACACTGAACGTGGAGCTGGGAAGAGATGTGCAGTCACACACCATGTATAACAGTCCCACCATACAGATCCAATAGATATAAATGATGTCAAGTCATCGATAAGAGGAAGTGTAATGAAATAATTAGGAAGTAATGAGATTTAAGTATTGATTACTTTTGTTTGTAATATAACTTATTTACTTGTATGCCTGTATAATTTAATTTTTAATAATGACCGTATCTAACAACCATCTTGCAAAATTCCTGAGATTTTGACCCTGAGCTCTCACAAGCCAGTATGAGCTGGATCCAGCATGCCACTGAGCCCAAAGGAAAAGGGGAAAATGCTGAGTGTGTGGATGGAACATCCAGCCTCTATGGAGAGTATAAGGCCCCTGCCTTCTATTTCATCTCCTCTCCTGGCAGGAGAAGAGCCCTAAAATGGGTCTAAGACAAAGAATAGGGCTCCTTTAACTAACAACTTCAACAACAGCGACAAAACACAAAAATTAGAAACCTTCACCCTCCTGGCATAAAATTTCCACCTCACCTCATGGCCTGAACCATATCCACCTAGCAGATGGTGGGTTTGGGAGGGAAGGGTTACAGAAAGGGTGAGTTTTGAGATGTAAGGAAGATAAGAGCTCGGACAGTGTCAAAACAGATAGGGCACTATCAGAGAAGGTTCTGGAAGCCAGATGTGGCATTTGGATGCTGGATGCTTAGGTTGGGGAGAGGAGGTAGAAAAAATGATGGAATGAAACCAGCTCCCTGCACTTCCCAATTCTGCCCTGGGCCAGTTCTGGCATAGTTCTTGCAGAACAACGTTCCCTCGCGAGATTCTTTTGGTAAAGATAAAAAAACCTTCTGTGGTCATAGCAACACATCTTATAAAATAGGTCTCCCAGAATTCAGGCCACAAAGTCATCCTCAGTGCCATAATGGGACACAAAATGAGAAGGGCCCAGGGCCTAGGCATTACTAAATCCTGCCCCACTGAGTACACTCAGGGAGGAAAACAACCAAATGCCATTTCAGTCCATTATCAGTCTAATCTCCTTCTTATTGAGTGGGAGCAGAGTCAGAAATCTAGTGCTAAAAATAACATTGTCATCTGTGGCCTGGAATAATCACACCTATCTAAAGCCAGGTTAAAGCGTGTGCATGTGTACAAGTGCATGTGTAGGGCGGGGTGACAGAATGAGCACTACCTTGTGTGTATATGCAACAGTAACTTTCTTTCCCATTTTATATATTTTTCCCCTAGGCAGCAGATGCAACTCTGGGGGCGGGGGGAAGGAAGGGCACCCCCACTGCTAAGTACTTACCAGGCCCTGTCGGGACCCAGGTACTGTGTGCAGCACCTTCCATTGGTCATCTGATGCAGCGCTCGCGCACTTGGAGGCAGGCAGCTTTACTGCAGAGAGAGGCTGAGTAACAAACCCAAAGTCAAACATCCAGGAAGAGATGGAACTGTGTTGTTTTGTTTTTTTTTTTTTCTTTTTTTGAGAGAGAGTCTCATTGTGTTGCCCGGGCTAGAGTGAGTGCCGTGGCGTCAGCCTAGCTCACAGCAACCTCAAACTCCTGGGCTCAAGCAATCCTTCTGCCTCAGCCTTCTGAGTAGCTGGGACTACAGGCATGCGCCACCATGCCCGGCTAATTTTTTCTACATATTTTTGGTTGTCCAATTAATTTCTTTCTATTTTTAGTAGAGACGGGGTCTCGCTCTTGCTCAGGCTGGTTTCGAACTCCTAAGCTCAGACAATCCTCCCGCCTCGGCCTCCCAGAGAGCTAGGATTACAGGCGTGAGCCACTGCGCCCGGCTGGAACTGTGTTTTAAACCTATCTATTGGACACTAAAGGCCTCTGTCTTCCCTATACTGCTAATCATGTTCTTGCTGATCAAACCAAAGACGGCCAGAGAAGTTGGGTCATCCCCATTTGAGTGGCCCAAAATGGTCCCAGCATAGAGTCAAGTTTACAACTATTTGTTGAATGTAGTGATTTCAAAGCAAAGATTTAACATCTGAATGTTTGATTTGCAGCATGTGAATTGGGAAGAGACTCGACAACCATCCTAGATCCAGTGATATGGCCCTAGGAGTCAAGACATAAAACCAGATCATGGCAGGTGCTAATCCCTGTACTCGTATTAACAGTTATGGGTTTATTCATAAGTGTGGCACCGCCTGCCTACATTCCTCAGCATGCTTTGAAGTCAGATGCCCTTTCATGATAAAGTGCATTAGGTTGTATACCAGACCATGTCTATTTTTGGCTTTGGGACACAGGGGTGCTTAACACTTCGAGAAAAACCCAAGAGAGGAATAGCTTGATTTACAAAGATAGAGCTTGTGGGGGGAAGTTTGCACTACAAAATTGTTCACCCTGGTGTTTGTTTAGATTGTTCCAGATTTAGATTGTGCTTAAAATATAAATCAACATTCCCAGGCTGATTCGTACACCACTTTCCAGTGGCACATCGAAGTTGAGGGTGCAGCGGAGACCATCCACACCTGCCCCTTACTGTGCGCGGGGGCCCTCTGCTCTCCCCTCCTGCAGCCTCCTTTCCCTTCGCCACAAGGGAAACGTCCCCTCCATGTGTTCCCAGGAAGTCTGGCGAAGGGACAAGCTGACTGCTTCTGAGAAGGAAGATTGGAGTGGAAGGATGTAGACTGGGGGAAGCTGAGAGGATGAGTAAAAGGAATTGTGACATCTGCTAGGAATGTCACCTCAAACCCAGGAAGCATCCAACCCACGGAATGAGGCCCAGCCTGTGGGACTGTGTGCCCAGGGCTCCTGGGGAATCTCGAGAGAGAGAGAAACACGGTCCCCACAGCACAGAGCCCCCACCCGTGTAGCCAGCTTCCGCCTCTCAAAGGGGTAAATTGAGCTGAATATTTGATGATGAGGAAGTGGAGTGGAATGTGAGGATCCTCACTGCTGACGTCAAGCTTGCCTTTCATTTTATTTATACCCATGACATTGTGACACGGGATCTAATTTTCCATTGTATTTTTTCCTGTGTTAGGAACCAAGCGATGACAAGTGAATTTGTGCCTGAGCCTGGAAAACAGTATTTCAAATTTGAAGCCAGGGACCATATAGGAATTCTGCATCTATCTGCATCTTCCCACTTGCCCCTCTTCCCTTAAACTGCTAAACTCGCCACGAGAAAGGGCAAAGGAGCAACACCCGACAGGGTGCGGCTGTCCAAGGAGTCAGAGCTGGAAGCATCCAGTTGCCCACTCCTCACTCGTGACAGGCCGTTCCTTCCTGGCACGGGAGCTGGCGGGAAGCCAGGGAGCAGTGAGGCCGCACGGCAGCCTTGGCATGGAGCCCTGGCCGCCGTCTGGGCATGGAACTGGGCTCTGGCACCAGGAGTCGTTCCAGCGCCCTGACCCAGAACTGCCTGTGCGGGGGCTGCTCTGCTGCGTGCGCCCTGGTGGGACCCCACTCCTCCTGCCCCTCCGAGGCAGGGCAGGTTCATGAGCAGAGCTGGATCTATAAGGAACGGTGGGAACAATTAGGGGACACTGGGGCAAAGGCAAGTTATATCCGCTGGTGCAGAAACGGCCTTTGGAGATGTGCCTGTGACGGAAGAGAGAGTGGCATGTGTTTTCAGCAAGTGGACAGAGTGGCCTTTACCCAGCTCCTCTCCCTGCTGCCAGACTGGGGGCCTCCGCCCTGCCAATGGCCTCTGTCCATTCCTTCCCGCAGCCTCAAGTCCAGACACGACATCTCTAACGTGGGTTCCTCTTCCCAGCCTGAAATGGAAGCTCCGCCTAGTGTCCGCAGACCCGCCACTATTTCGGTAGGGCCCCCTATTGCCAGCTTTGCAACAATGTTTTCAGTTTCTAACCTCAGAGAAATCTTGACTTCCTTGTACTCAGTGCAGAAGATGTTTGTTATTCAGGATTCTGATGCAGAGGTCTGATAAGAGAGGCCTCTGGCCTTCTGAGTTAGTAAACCAGGAGGGTCTGAGAGTTTTTAAAAAACCGAGAAGCACAAGCACAGCCCTAAGAGGTGGTACAGTGCCAGCTCCTGTCACCTTATATCTTCCAGGATATTTAGACATGGTTGTCAATGAGTGTTCACTATGTTTGCCTTGGTTGTCTTGTTTGCTTTGTTTGTTTGCTTTTAAAAATAAAGGTTTCCAGTTGCACCAACGAAATCATACCTGTGTTTTATTGATATTATGAGAGAGAATAACAGCTCAGGCATAATAGAGATTGGGGAGGTGGGGTCAAAGACGCCGTCTCTCAGCAGGTATAGTTACGATCAAGCCTAGAATAGAGCTTCTCAAATGTTAACGTCCATCATAATCACCTGGAGGGTTTGTGGAAACACGGGTTTCAGGGTCCCACTGCCAGAGTTTCTGACTCTGTGGGCCTGAGGTAGGCACTGAGAATTTGCATTTCCAACAAGTTTCTGGGGGGATGCCGAGGCTGCTGATTTGGAGACTCCACTCTGCGGACCACTGGCCTAGGACAAGAGGGAAGTAGCGCAGTCTTTACCGAGCAGGATGGAAGATGAGAGTGGGCAGAGGCAGCAGCATGCGCAAACACCTGGAAGTGAGACAGAGTTTGATGGCCTCGGGCAATGGAAAGACCAGTGTGTCTGAAAGGCAGCGAATAGTGGTCCTGCAGCTTGAGGCTGAGCACAGAGTGAACGCTCAGTCTGTTTACATTTTCTCTCCTTCCTCCATTCCCTGACTTGAAACATGGCTGTATCTCAAGTTGGCCATCTTAGCTATGAGAGGACTTGTTCCTGAATTGGTGTCGAGGTACCATCCTGTATCTGAAAGCAAAAAGAGTTAATGTGGAGGTGATCTATGATATCCAAACTGGGAGCCTGCTAAGTAGATGGCTATGGATAAGAAATCTGGATACTGCTTCCCAAAAGGAGTTTTGTGTTTGTATGTGTGCTTCCCTCCGCCACACCCAACTCATAAATGCCACAGGATTTTAAACCAAAGAAAGTATTGGTTAGGTTTTTGGAGCCAAAGTGCACAATTGGCACCAGGCCAATTCAGTTCAGACTACATTTATTGAGCACTTACTCTGTGCCAGGTGCCATGCTAGGTGTTGGGAACATAGAGGTGAATAAAACTGGGTCCCTTCTCTTGGGAAGTTCAGTCTTACTGGGAACTGAACACATAAATAACCATATGTGTTTTTATGTACAGTGGAATAAAAGCCACAACAAAGGTCTGTACAGAGGCCAATACAAACACAGGAGAGAGAGCAGTTTTGCCTGGAGAAGTTTGAGAAGGTCACGCATAGAAAGTGACATCTGAGCCAAGCCTGGGAAGGAAACTTCTAGAGAAAGAGCAGAACTGAAGGATAAATGAACACATCTCCTTTAAGAACTTTCTTGTTATTGTTTTAAGCTCTGAACTAAATCATCGTTATGAGTTTCTAGGAGATACATGGCCACATGGTGTTGAATTTGATTTAAAATATTGCATAAGCCGTTATATATAGTAACACATATGGAAACAATCTGAAAATATTTCTCCTCAAATATAGTGCCATTTGCTTTTACGAATTTGCTATTTCTGAATAAATATGTGAAATATGGTTTGGTCTTCTGAGACTCTCAGAAGAAATTATATCACCATTCTAAGCAAAAATAATGTTGCTAATGCATTCATTCATTCATTCAGTTAGTCAATAAACATTTAGTTAGAAATTTCAATTTCTGAAGTACCACACTAGTTCTGTCAGGGAAAACAAAAATGTGTAAGACATTGTCCTGACTTCAGGACTATTCAAAGCTTGGGAGTGAGAAAAACACCTGAACACAGATAATTCTAACACGAATGGGTGGTAAGTTATATAAGGGAGCACAAACAAAATGCTACAAGTATCTGGAGGAAAACAAGCTATTTTATGACTGAGATAAGCATAGAAAGTTTGACCATTTATGGAGGAGAATCCATTTCTATAGGCTGTAGGGTGGAAAGGGATTAGACTTACAGAAACAAGGGTGGAGGGAAGTATTCCAGGCAGATAGAAGTTAGTGAACCAAGTGGGTGGGAAACCTGAGGTCACTTGGAAATAGCACTTTGCCCTGTTTAAAGCCATGACTTGGGAAAAGAGCTGGAATAGGTAGATGTCAGTCTCACAGCATAGTTTGAACTTGATTTCACTGGCTGTGACTTATTGGAATTCGAAATGCCACACATTTGTCACTTGGTTCCTGCACACTTGTTTTAGTTGGCATCCCAGGCCTGACCTTAGTCTTGGCATCATTGTGTCCAACACAGAGGATACATTTTTAAAAAATCAGTCTGTATATTGGTAGTAGTAAAATCACAATGCAGCTCCAATTAGTCATGAAGACCACAGGCTGAAAGTTGACCCTTTTCTTCAGGAATTTATGATTTCACGCCTGGAGGTTGAAAGAGATGGGTTTTGTAGCAGAGTCCCTTTAGGAAACAGATGAGGGCTTATTTACACAGGTGGGGACATGGTTATGGGATGGTGCAGTGTCTGTGGGCTAGTGAGAGCTGGAAGCTGTTACCAACCCTAGCCGGGTGGTGACAGGGCAAAGGACAAAGCAGACATTTGAACTTGGAAAGGCCTTTGGGTTGCTATGAGTGCCCGTGTCCCCGATCCGTGCTGGTGCCTCCTGTTGGCTGAACCTGACCTTGACTGAACCTCACTGATGGGAAGCCAGAGGGTCAGGGCTCATCGATGCATTCCCTACAGGTCAGCCTCCAAGGGCACAGGATGAAGGGAGGAAGGGTGGAGAGCTGATCTGGAAGGGCAAACAGAGACTGTCCAGCACAGTCCTTTCTAGCTTTAATATTTCCATGATTCCAGAACAACCCAAACCACAGTAAGCTTTCATTTGACAAATATGTTCCAAGCACCCATGTTTTTCTCAGCAATTTATAAAAAATAATTAACATAGGGAATCAATTGGATGGATAGATGAATGGATGAGTGGTAAAGGAACCCCTGACAGGGACAATTCATTAAATAGTATCTCATCTAGATTGCAAGCTTGATGAATACAGGGGCTGGGCTGGATTTGTTCACTGCTGAATCCTCAATGCCCAGCACTACTCTTGAACCTTAGTAGACACACAATAAACATTAGTCTGAATAACTTGATTGATGAAATATCAAGAGCACCAAGCAACATAAAACATGCAGTAGGAAGTCTTATGACAGGAGAACTCAAAGTTAGGGTAAACAGCTAACATTCTCTGACCTAGGAGAAGCAGATGATGACAGTGTTTGTTTTTCTGCTTCTAGTAACTTTTAGACCAAAGCTTTCAGCACCTCCCAGAGAACAAAGACCATTTGATGGTGGTGGAGAGATAAAGCATAGTCCATCCCTCAATCTTTTCCGATCACTTAAAAGAGCAACATTATAAGCCTTGCATCCCAACCTCAATTAATTCATCCATTTATTCATTCAGTGAAGACATATTGAGTGCTTATTTTGTGTTTGAGAATCCAAAAACAAGAGAGAGACACCCTCAACCCTCAAGGAACTAAGTCTGGTAGGAACTAGAGATAAGACATTAGGAAATTACAGTACTCGTGCTGGCTAGAGGGAATACAGGCTGCTCTTGGAGCAATCAGAGGACATCTGGTATAGGCTGCAGATACCAGAGTAGGTAAGTTGAGTACTGAAGGGCTTTTCCACTTGTTTACTGATCTCTGGCTTCCATCCCTCCACCATTACCAGCCACCAACCCCTCCACCACCGCTACCTCATGTAAATGGCTTGTAATGCAATTTCCTTTGATTCGGATGCATTTATATCAAAGTACCATAAATTGGCCAATGAACACATGTAGAGGGTACAGTCCCATCAGCCAATCAGTGCACACATGTAGAGGGCATGGTCCCCTCAGCCAATCAGTGTACACATGTAGAGGGTTCACTCCTTCCTCCTCAGCTCTTGGTAGAGAGCAGGAGCAAGAGACCAGAAGGGCACACGGTGGTGTCTGGATTGGAAGGAGGAGACAACAGGTCTAGCAGGCGAGGCTGGAGACCCTGTAGACAAACTTTATTGCCTGCAGAATTTTTTGGAGGATCAGTACTATTTATCTTCGGCTCCTTGCAAATAAATAGAAAGTATATGAGGAAGTTTGTGCTTGTTTGTTTTTTAGCCTCTAGCAACTGAATG